ATTAAATAACCTCAAACTTTCACCTGAAACATCTGTGAGTAAAATGGGAGAAAAACAAAAAAGATGTGAAAGAAAACCATGTGGCCTTCAGAGCAAATGCTTACAAATCAGCTAAAATGGCATAAAAAGTAAAACCTAAAGCAACTGAAAACCAAACATCAGTAAGAACTAAACAGGAAATAAATGAGTGAAAAACACAAGAATCATAACCCCCTCCCCCAGAACGGTGCAAATGAAAAGAGGCTTGAACATAGTGTGTCAGTCATGGGATCTGATGGCAGAGCATGGCCTTTCTCACCCTTGGCCGATGGCTGAGAGTGAGGCAGAATCCATGGAAAGGGCCACAGGACAGGGACAGGGGGGCAAGGAGACAAGGAGAGAGAAGAATAGGTCGTGAAAAAGACTAAAATTCATTATATAATTGTATGAACAGTCAAAGAATTTTGAATGGAAATGGCTATGACTTTACAGTTCAAAAGAGAAAGTACGTTTCCCACTGTCATAGAAGCTTCCTAAATTATATATACACACACATACATGAAAAGAATTTAAGCGGAGTGGGCGTATAATGAAGGAGACAGTGATAGAGAGCTGATGCCACCAAATAAAACCTCCAGTGCCAGAAATGGATTGCATCTTTTTGAGTCATTGGCCAAATGGGTCCCTTCAACACCCCCCACCAAACAGCACAGGCTACTGACAAGGCTATTGGTCACTCTCTACAACTTGGTGGGAAGACCCTATTGCTAAAGATTCCACGTACTTCTGTCAGTGAATATAGAGAAATTGAGCTGGTTCCCATCCAGAAGCATCACCCCTATTGGCTAGCATTCATGGTGCTGGAAGGTACTTTGCATGCAGCTAAAGGAGAAAGGTCATCACTATTATCACCCAGTTATACAACCTATGATATCCAGTAGAGACCTGCCTGCAAGATATACTGGTGAAATAGTGGCACAGATGTTAAGGAAGTCACCAACCACTATTTAAAACTTGTATTTAAGCCCACTCCATGAGATGGAACCCATACCTGGCACTGCTAAAGTGACCAAGAACTCAAGACTATGTAGGTCACGGGCCTAGGGGAAAACCTACCAGTTATTCTGCTAAAGAACACAGCAAAAAATGAATCCTGTGCTGCTAATGTGTTTGTGATCTAACAAATGTAGCTTGCCTGAAGATCAGAGTGCAGAGCTAAGCCACTAGTTAGCCATAGAGGCCAGGCAGTGGAGGCACACACCTTTAATCCCAGCACTTGGCAGAGGCAGAGGCAGATGGATCTCTGTGATTTCAAGACCATCTTGGGCTACACAAGACTGATCCAGTCTAAGAGAAACAGAGCCAGGCAGTGGTGGCACACACCTTTAATCCTAGCACTTGGGAATCTCATGCCTTCAATCCCAGCACTAGGGAGGTGGAGACAGGAAGTGATGTGGCTAGGCAGAGAGAGGAATATAAGGTGGGAAGAGACAGGAGCTCAGTCCTTTTGGCTGAGGAGTTGGTGAGGTGAGTGGTGGCTGTGGCTTGTTCCTTTGTCTCTCTGATCTTTCGGCATTTACCCTGATATCTGGCTCCAGCTTTTTATTGTTAAGACCAATTAGAATTCATGCTACAGAACCCTAATGACTCATTTCTATACCCAGAGAGTAGAGCATCACTCAACCCTCACCAGAGAAGCTTCTTCTTGAAGTAATAGGACTTAACAAAGAGATCCACAACTGGACTATCTGCAAAGAATAACAAGAGACTTTGGTGCACTCAGCCTTCAATGAAATGTCTTCATCAGATTCCTCCCCTCCGGGTTTTAGGATCTATGAGGAAGAGGAAGCGGAAGGATTTTAAGAGTCAGAGGCAATTGATGACTTCAAGGAAACCGTGTTTTCCAGACACAACAGGGCTGAGACACATATGAACTCACAGAGACTGTGACAGCACACACAAGGCCCGTGCAGGTTCAAACCAGACAAGATCCCAGCACTGGAAAGGGAAAGTGGGCACCAAATCCTGCTCCTAACCAGTGATATTTGCCATTGAAAGCTGCTGGGAAAAGGAAAACTAGCTTTCTCCAATAGCGTGCCACTGTGTGTGTTAACCACGCTCTTAATGTACTTTTCGTTTTGTATTGCTTTGGTTTGCTTTTTGTCTTACTGATTTTCTTGTTTTAAGTTGGTCTGTTTTGATTTTCAGGTTTTGGTCTTCCTTGCCTTCTTTGAGTTTTTTTGAGAGGGAGTAAGAACATGAAGTTGGGTGGATAGAGATGTGGGAGGATCTGGAGGACTTAGGGGAGAAAGAATACAATCAAAATCTACAGTATGGAAACAATTCAATTAAAAAAATTAGAGAGAAAGGAAAATGCTTTATTTTCCTTCCACCTAACAAATATTGTTTCTTCATTCATATATATTATTATATGTATATACAAAGAGAATATTTTATTATCTCTAAATGGTAATATCCAAGAGCATTTACCAGTCCATCAAGAGGAGATAGTTGACCAATCATAGTTCACTTCCACTCTGGACTATTATACAGTAAAGAGAATGGAGAGGATCTAAAATGTTCCCTCCAAGCAGTGTGTTCACAAAACCACATAGTCCATGACAGGGAGCTTGTTGTACAACAAAGACACAATCCTAGGGCTGGTTCAGTTATCAAGAACACTTGTTGAAGAAAAAAAAAGGAGGGAGAAAAAAGAAAACACTTGCTGTTTTTGCAGAGGACCTGGATTTGATTCCCAGTATTCACATGGTGGCTCACTACCATCTGTAACTCCAGTTCCAAGGGCCATCATGTCATATTCTGATCTCTGAGGGCACAGGCACACACATAATTCAGATGTACAAAACACTCCATCATAGGGTTTCTACTGCTGGGAAGAGACCCCATGACCACAGCAACTCTTACAAAGAAAAAACATTTAATTGGGGTGGCTTACATTTTCAGAGGTTTAGTCCTTTATCATCATGGTGCGACACAGTAGTGTTCAGGCAGATATGGAACTAGAGAAGTAATCGGGTGTCCTACATCTTGACTTGTAGGCAACAGGAAGTGGTCTCAGACACTGGGTGTGGCTTGAGCATACAGGAGATCTCAAAGCCCACCCCCACAGTGACACACTTCCTCCAACAAGGCCACACCCACTTCAACAAAGCCATACCTCCTAATAGTGCCACTCCCTTTGGGAGCCACTTTCTTTTAAACAACTACATACCCATACATAAAATACATAAATCTTTAAAAAATTAAAACCTCAGCTCTATATATGGTAAGGCAGTGTCTACATATAAGTGAGAGCATGGGCTTACAATGTGTACACACATATACATAAATCTGTGTATGGGTAAAGTCCCAACGTTTAGGAAGGAGACTGAGAGGGTAATAGTAGGTGACGAAGAAGGCAGAGTACATGTGGGACATGAAGGACAGAAAGGTAATTTTTTTTCCTAGTTTCATTGTGGACATGTAAATTCAACGTTCTGTGTATTGAAATAGCAAGAATCATTTTGTATTTTAAAAGAATCCAGCATGTGCTATTCCTTTTGAGCCGGTGAGTGTAGAAGTTGGGCTTTCTTTAATTCCATTGACTATTCATGAAATAGGAATTAGACATGACTGGTCATACTGACCCAACATAGGAAAGTGATTTTTAATTTTTAATTCATTCTGGGGGAGGAGTTTTGTAACCCTTTTTTTTCCTCTTTTTTCTTCTGTTTAAAACTGTGTCGATCATATTGTAATGTTATTTGACATACAATTTGTATTACTATACATAAAATACAGTTTTTAACAATAAAGATACAGGGCTGGATAGTACTGGCTGCTCTTCTAGAGGAGCTCGGTTTGATTCCCAGCACCCACATGGAGGCTGACAGCCATCTGTAACCCGTACCAGAAGATCTGAGGGTACAAGGCATACAAAACACTCATAAATAAAATAAATAAATGTTTAATTAAAAGTGAGAATAAAGATCCAGTTCTAGGAGGATCATAAGGAGCTGCTCTGGAGACAGCCTCGAGGGAAGGGGAGTCACTGTTCATCACAGACCCTTCACTGGGGCTTTATTTTTTTTCCTTCCTCGTGTTTACAATCTTTTTTGTTGTTGTTATTGTTAAAACTAATTTTTTTAAATATTTTAAACCACTTGTGGTGGTGCATGGAAGCAGGATATGCTGAAGAGGCAGAGGCAGGAGGATCACAAATTTGAGACCAACCTGAACTACACCTTGGGACTGGCAAGATGGCTCTGTAGGCAAAGGGGCTTGCTGCTAAGCCTGATGACTTGAGTTTGATCCCCACTATCTACAAGGTGGAAGGACTGGAGCAGCTTCCACAGTGGTCCTCTAATCCACCACACCAATGTCAAATGTCACACACACACACACACACACACACACACACACACACATACACACTCACACACACACACACACATACACACGCGCACACACACATACACACACACACTCACACACACGCACACACACATA